CTGGAAAGAGCTGAGAAAGATGCTGGCTATGCAGCACTGACTGTAGCTGTCTATGCAACACACACACACACACACTCAAAAAAAAAAAAAAAAAACTCAAAGAGACTAAGACAGCATTTGACAACTCTTAGGTTTATCTCACTTGTTTTCATGGAATGTGAATTAAAACTATTAACCTGAGCTGTACATCAGAATTACTTGTATCTAAAACAAAATTCTGAAGAGCGCATTGGAGTGAAGCCCCAGGTCCACATGCTAATCCCCTACTCCTGCAAATGCCACTGCCCCATGCAACAAAGGAGTTCTGTGCCGGCAATTAAGATTTGGAGATGGGATTACGTCAGAGGATGGGGTGAACCCCGTGGAAAATCACACATGAGCTGCACATGGTGGCACACAACTATAGCCCAGGCTGCACAGGAGGCGGCAGCAGGAGGGCTGCAAGGCAGAGGCCTGGACTCAGGAGAACTATCTTAGGGCACAGAGTTAGAATGCGGGACGTGGCTCAGCAGTAGAGCGCCCGGGGCTCCAAGCCCAGCACCTCCTGCTCCCACCGCACACAGAAGCAGAGTGGGTGAGCCCACCACAGCAGGGCCAGCAAGCCCTGCCCAGAAGAGAGAAAACCAAGGGCTCTCGCGTGCTGTCCTGAGCCTCCGACAGCACCATGCCCGACTCACACCTTGACGCTCTAATACATCTGTTGACCGGAGCCAGGGTACTTGTGCTGATTCATTACAGCAGAAACAGGAAACGCACTCTTCAACTCTCTGGGGCTGACTCTGATCCACCATCCCGCATGCATCACTGTACCCGAACTTGCAATCGGCTTGAGAGACGAAGATAAAGATGGGCACCACTGTGAACTTAAGTACAGGTGACCTTGGACCCAGCGCACCACCTGGGGTCTAGGAGGCAGGTGTTCCTGCGCAGGGAGCAACGTGTGGCCAGAAACACTCCCTGCAGCTGTGGCACGACTGGTGAGTGTCCACTGGCATGGGCTGAACGCACGGCACAGCCACAGACGTGAGTATTGTGCAGCCTTGAAAGGAGGAACTGGGCAACTAACTCTGCATATCCAGAGAGGTAAATAAGGGCTGGGGAGACAGCTCAGCAGCTTAAGCAATTGCCTGGCAAGCAAAAGGTCCTGAGTTTGAACCCCGGTACCAAAAACAAACAAACAAAAAAAAAAAAAAAAAACAGGTAAATACTTTAAGGTATAAAATCGGCATGAAGAGTAGGCTCACTGTGCCGCACCTTGAATGATTTTATACGTATACAAGGAGGTAAAAATATACAGCAAATGCTTAAGTTTGAAAAAAAATGTGCTCAGTAGAAGGCGCATTGCCCAAATACCCACCTACACAGCACCAAACATCCTCACGCCAGCATCCTGCCCTGGGCTCTGGGATCCTCTCCGTGGGGAGTCTCCACAGGGCACCGTCAGGAGTATGACCACTGCTGCCACCAAGTGTCACATGGCAGAACAGCAGGTTGACAGCAAAAAAAAAACGCTCAGTGCATCTCTACTGGCCCTTGTCCAGAGTTAAAATCACCAAGGAAGGTAAACACTTGGGATTGATATACAACACGCCGCGGGCAGCGACTACAGCACAACTGACACCAGAGCTGCTCTGAAGGCAGCAAGAATGATAGGCAGGCGCGTCTGAAGCAAGGGGGTCATGCTGGGGGGTCCGTGGCAATGGGTTTTTCATTACAGTAATTTTAAAAAATTTAAACAGTCACCATACTTCTCCATCACACTCACATGTATTATTCAGAAGAACACATGAAAACTGTGCAGCTGTGGGAGCAGCTAGGTGGGGACAGGGAGGAGGGACGGCGACTTCCTGGCTGCTGACCTCTCACTGCTCAGCTAGAGAAATCTGAGCGGCCAGATAGAAATAGAGAAACCCAAGAAAATGTAGGGACACCGGTACTCAGAAAGCTCTTCCTTTTGACCTCTAACTTGACATCTTGGCCTTTTCCAAAATATTAAATATGCATCTATTCTTATAAACATGAAAAACAAATGAGGGTTAAGACTAAATTTATGGGGGCTTCCCTGGTGGAGGAGCTCCCCCCTCTGGTGGTGCTTCCTCGGGACCCACCATTGAAGAGGTTGATTAAGCCAACTTTAAATAAAAACATAGCATTCTTCCACAACCAATAAAATTGAAGGACCTAAATTTGTAGCAAATTCTGTAGCAGTTAAAGTTGAGCTGCTATAGTAAAGTACTGGGCATTCTCAATACTTGAA